AGTCAGCTCTACTATGTGGCTTTCATCTTGGAGTAGAGTACACTTATTGAATGTGTAGGTAGCAGGAGGAAAGAGAGGATTAGAAAATGATCCTGGCAGTTTGGGGGAATGCTTCTAAAGAACTGGGATGCAATTGAGTGTAGTGATCAGCAGAGGATGGCAAGTGACAAGTCAAAAGCAGTTCTGCAGAAAAAAAGAATGTCTGCAAAGAATAGTAGATGACAAAGTGAACATGAGTTAACATAAAAAGTAGCTATAAGGTTGAGCAGGATGTTTAATCTCTCTGAGGAGATTGACTTTGACAGTATGATACAGTTTGAAATGGTAATGGAATAGATCATTGTGGGAGGCCTTTGAGCACAAGTTCTCTCTCAAGAATAGTAGAGACTTGATCCTGCACTGGGGAAAAAAGCTAATCTACATGGTCTCAAAAAGAACCATCTGAGCTCTGTTTTCAGGTGAGTTCATTACTTTAATAGTCTTGTTTTGTTATTTTTATGCACATTGGATTGTGTGTTTTTAAAAAAACTTCTAGGATGTTAGAAAACCACACATTTGATTAGCATCATAAGAGATTTATTTGCTTACCATTTTGTTGATATGAATGATATTGCTAGAGGTGTACATCACCATCAGTTTCTCTAAAGTGGTAGTGTAAATGACCACAATCTTATGATGTACTGGATTTTTATGGGAACTAGGTTGTATTTAAAATATTGATATCCCCTGCTGGAGTATTTGGTGTGGCTGTCATAACATTTGTGTAAGTCAGAGCTCAGAGTATTTGACTTATATTATCTGAATAATCCTTTGGTATTTATTTTATTACATTTACGTAGTGCTGGTTTATGTGGTTCTAGAAGCAAAGATTGATTGACATTTATGTTTGTGTTACTTCTACAATGTGAAAGACCTGGAAGGGGGACATGATGAGAAATAGTTTGTGGTTGTTGTCTCTCACGTATAAGAAAACAGTACTGAGTCACAAATACTCAAACAGAAAATGAAAATACTTTAAGTAATGGTCTGTTCAGAGATGAGTGCTCTTTGCATTCACCTCTAATAGTTTGTAAGCATCAGCAGAGAACAATGTTTGATACTCCGATGCTTTATGTATATGTTATGGAGCAAACCCATTTGTTCCCTTTTGATCTTTGCAGTCTCATATATGGGCTTGTTGCCCATATAAACTGTTTGTTAGGATACAGTAGTAAATATTTTTCTGGGTTAAAATATATCTTGCAGAAATCTAGTGGTGTTTTATTGATTATAGTTTTAGACTGTTGAGTCTGCATTTATATTCTAGAAGAGATGATCTTTTTGTTATTTCTAAGAAACTGAGCAGTAGAATTGATTGAAATAGAATTGTAGCTGAAAGAGGTAAGCTAAATAATGGAAACCACTCCAAAGAAAAATGTGTCCTTCCCATTAGTACTCTGGAAAGAAATGCCACACATTAAAATATTGAATGCACGTTGCTGTTACGTGTAATTTGGCAACCAGCTAGAATCGCTAGACTTATCATATACTCAACTTAAAGCTGCTGCCAAGAAGAGACTGATAAAAGGAACAGAAAGATGATAGACAAAGAGGTTGATAATGGAGATTATATGGTTAAATGCCAGTAAAGAGAATTGGTTTTTCCAAGCCACACATGTGAACTTGACCCCAGCATGTCAGAAATGCCATGTATTGATCATAGCTTTGAAATTTTGTGTGTTCTCAGAAAAAGCAATGAGAGCTCTTTCTAAGTTAAAATAAAGATCTTTGCGCAAGTCTTGCATCCTTCCTCTCTTTAGACCTGTGTTCTCTCCCTACCTCTCTGCTCTCTACTTCCGTTTTTCTTCACCCTTAGCTGCTTAGCCCAGCACTGAAAGCCAGTTCATCCTTCTGCTAGTCCCCCTCCCATTCCTGGCTTTTGCTGTGCAAGAACTCGTGTTATCAGTAATGTATGTAAGTTTCCACATGCCTAATTCAGCCTTGAGGACCTACATGATCCCACCAGCTCTAGTCTAGAAGGTAATGATAGACTAGAAAAGGCCTGCCCACTAGAAAGGTATCCTCCATCCATGTGGCTGAAAGGACTTTTTTGTATATGTAAGGAATGGGATAATGTCCTAGAAGACTAACAAATAAAAATCCTTCTTGGATCAGAAACCATTTAGAATGCTGTGGTGAGCAGAACTCAACTCTTTAGCTGTTGAACAAAATGATAAATATACAAATATTAATATTTTTTAAAAATCAAAAGCCATGTGTTTAAAGTTAGGATGCAAAAAGATTAGTCCTGATCAGGAAAAAAATGCAACATTCATGAATCAGGAAGGCATTACTCTGTAGACTCATGCTCAGGACACCCAGCTCTACGGTTGGTTCACATGTCCTTCTTGCCTGTTATCCTGTCGGTTCACTCACCAGACTTGGTGGAGCAAAGACGTGGTTCTTCTCCAGGATTAGTTGCTTTCATGTGCTTTGCAGTCTTCACTCCACTTCGGAAGTGGACTGATGTTTAAGTGCTTAGCTGAAAACAAGAATATTCTTTAAGCTGTTCAGATAGACCCACTTTACACAGCTTTTGAGCCTTGTTTGAGTTGGTTTTGATTACCATTCAACTATCTACATTGTGCAAGAGCTGGTGAGCAATTCCAGAGGGCAAATGCTGTATGGCTGATATCCCATATGGTTGCTAGTGTTTGAAGTTGAAAACATCAAATTTTACAAATACTGTTACACATAATGAAAGAATTCAACTGCTTCCTAGATAACATTCCATACATATGCCTATGTTTTCATCTCACACATAAGGATATAGATGTGAACAGTGCTACACGTACTGGTATTTCATGCCTCTCAGAACTTGCCCAGTCTGCTGTTGAGCTTACAGCCTACAAAATAGCCGTAAAAACGTCTTTCAAATGTGTAATATTATTTTTCCTTAAAACATCCATGTGATGCTCTCCTCCATCAAACTTGCAAACCCAACATTGATGTGAAGACAACCTAGATTTCAGAATTGCTGACTACCTTGCTTGCAGTTGTGAAGTGCCATGCATAGCTGGCATCTCTGTAAAATATTTGAAATCTAAGTGAATATGGGGGGAGTTGATACTGAGATCCTGTTTCTGTGCAGCTTTGTGTATACCTTAAGAAACGAGGATTGTTTTTTTCTTATCAAATTAATAGAGGGAAAATAAAATCAAATTTGTATGTCAGTAGGCATGGATTTAATGATTAACATTTTAACGACAGATACTGCGTTCAACGATATTTCATAACCTGGCTTGCTATATGTATTCAGATATCAGACAAGTTTTAATAACTGATCTGCTAGGTCAGATATTTGTAAAGATAGACACAGGCCTCAAGGTCTTTGTCTTGATCTTGATAGTCACTGTTCTGGCCCCCTTTGTGTATTATGTTTGTTTGGAATTTATGATGGAAAAAGGGAAGAATATTCGACAGAAATAACTTTGTGGAATAGACAATGAAATGCACTTATGAGGGCTAAGTACAAATCATATCTTTCCCCTGCCTGCTGTAGTTCAAACCCTTCAATAATTTTTAATTAAAAGACAAAGGCAGATATCAATGCCTTTATTAATACCTCGGTGTTAAATTTTTGTCTTCAGTGTAACCAGGCACCAGTTTTAGAGACAATCTTTGCATATCTACCATGAAGAACAAACTAGATTATATCCTAGCAGGTATGGCTTTGCGTTTATTAGCAAGATTGATAATTCACTATTCTTCAAGGTGCCCTGTTGCTTTAATTTCCATTAGGACAAAAATGTTGTATACCTCATACAAAATGGAAGGGGGAAGAGTCAAATGAGGTAAGGAATGTGAGAGTTAGATCCACCCTGATTTATTATACATTGAAGAGATATAACAAAAATATTGATAGAGGTCTATTAAACATGTAAAATTGGTTCTGTTCACCCTAGTGAAGGAGGATGGCTGAGGGAAAAAAATGTGTTAAGATAGAGAATAGGAATCTTACAGCAATTGCTAATTTTGAGTCCATGATATCATGGAATCGTAGAATCCCAGATTATCTCAAGTTGGAAGGGACACATACAGATCATATCCTTCCATTTCCTTTTGTGCATTGAACAAACTTAGTTGCCAAACCAGTTGTGATCCTGGCAGCTCCTATAGCATTACACTCCTTCAAAGTAAGGAGGAATTTTGCTTTTTACTTTCTGAAAGTCTAGGTATAGTACATCTAGCACCCACATTTACGTATCATGGGACATAAATGCACTTGTAATTTCTCTCCCCATTTCCAATCTGTAAATTTCTCTGAGGTTGTTATCAGGAGAACTAGATACTAGATCAGGAGAAAAGCCATCAGACTAAGCTCAGGAGGCGAGAGGATCTAAAAAGGACAAATACAAATTGAAGAAGGGAAAATGAGGAGACAATAGGACCACAGTAATGTGATAAGAAAACCTCATGTGGGCTGGAGTGACAGGTTTTACCTGAGGAAAACCTCATGTAGCAAAACACATTGTGGTCCTGTGAGGAGACCAGAGAACAGCAGCAGCTGTCATTCCCTGCCGTACTTTGGATGAGGTTGCAGTATTCACCCAGCTGAGATGGGGGCAGAGACACGTGGGCGTGTGTAAGGTGGGTGAAGGTGGGAAGCAGGAGCGGTGGAGGGGGCAAAGGCAGTTGCTCACTGCTGAGATAAGGAGTGTGATGGAAGTGCCCATGGCATGAAGAAGAACCCCTCCTGCCCCAGAGGACCTCTTTTGATTGAGTGCACTGCATGGGATGAGTTTGACTGAAACCTTTTATTTGTAAAAGTGTTTTCTTGGGAGGGGCGTCCTCCTGGTTCTCAGCTGGGCACGGGATTGCTGGCAGCGGCACCAGTGTTGGCAAGTTCCTTGTTCTCTTCTCCTTGTGCCTCGCAGAGCAGGTGCTGGGCAAGAAGGGCCTGTGCCAGGAGAGCATCTGCTGCGCTGGCCCCTCTGCTCGGCCTCCTACAGCTGTGTCCTTCAAAAGAGCAGGACACTGCGAATGCTGAAAAGGGGGAAGGAAGGGAGGAGTTACAGGTGCTGCAGTTCAGGAGCAGGCAGCAGGGCGGGCAGGTGTGCCTGAGAGCTGGCCGCTGCCTTTCTCATCCAGCCTCTTCCTAACTCAGCTGCAAGAGATGGGCAGCAACAGAGCAGCCTTCAAAACCCTGCCGAAGGGAGCCCTCAGGAGCTAAGGCACCTTGTCCCTCCCCAAATCTCTTGTGCTGCTGCTGTAAGGTATGTTCTTTCTTTGGCTCTTATGCTGTTGTCGCCCCTTGCTTGTCATTCTCCATCGCCCATCTTGTGCTTTCAAGCAGTGCCCTGAGACGTGGTGTCTGAGGGCCTGTGCTGGCTTCAGCACAGTGCTGGGGGCTGCAGGATCTCTGCTGAGCTGAGCCGTGAGCAGGAGGGTTCCCTGTGTTGAGTGTGGGCTCTTCCCTCTGGGTTATGGCCGATCCTCCCAACACACGGCTCTGGTCCCTGCTTCCTCAAAAGGCTTGGATGCTTTTTTTACACGCTCTGCCTGCCTCGGGCTGTTTGAATTGTAGGTGGAGGTGGCCTTTGCTGTGCCTTGCTCCTGCTAGTCAGGGTCTCACCTTTTTCCTGCACGTAACAACTCAAACCCCTCGTTCACTTTAGCAATTGGCAGCGTGTGCGTGATCAGTAAGTCTGAGTTGAATTTCTTCTCCAAATAGCTGGAAACTAATTTGGGGATAGTATCTCTCACTTTCCAACCTAGAAAGGGGAGAAAACACCTGCAGTGAGTAACTGGAGAAGTGCTTTCTTGGTTATGTGGTGTTGCTGTGTGGGTCAGGACTGAGCGACCGGTACTGATGCCTTTATCTTGTAAGCAATTTTCATGTCCTTGGGATGAGAGTGGGTTAGCATAGGCAGTTGTGTGTGTTGAACTGAATGAAACAGTTACAGGTTTATTAGCACGTTTCATACCAATATATATAGTGGAAATGCAGTACTCCTCTTTAGCTGTGTTTTTCTGTAAAACCCTCCGAAAGGGGCTTCCTGTGACATAGCTGAGCTTGAAATACTCTTTGTCACCAAGAGATTAGTGAAAAATGACTATGAGGAAAAGTGTCTTTTGTCCTACAGCTGAGGACATTGCTCAAATAGGAAAAATAATTTTCAAGGGGAGAGTTGTTTGTACGCCCTGATAGTACCTATTCAACAGACATTTGGAAATCACCATGAAAGGAAAAGATGGAAATGTCTAAAATGTTTTCCTAAGTTTCATACCTCCAAGCAGAGTCCCCTTCCACGTACGCCCAGACAGCAGAAGCATAGGATCCATGGGAATCACTGAACCAGAAGGCAGTTCCCCAACCATCACGCAGACACCAGTGTTCAAGTTGCAGGAAGCCAGGGCAGCAGTCTGATGGGACAGGCATGTGAATTAGAGAAGGTGCTGATGAGTTTGTCAGAAAAGCATTCTTTCTGTGCAGTCATCTGCCCCTCCCTGGTAATCTGGAAATGCATACTCCCTTGTGCACAGACATGGAGAGCTCAGTGCCTGTTTTGAAGCTTGTACCTTGTTTTCTCGCAAAGCCAAGAGACCGCCTTCCTGAGCAAAGATGTGCCCACCAGTGCAGGCAGCAGGCAGGGAAGTTCCCGCTGGGGCAAATTTTTTCCTGATGGGAACCCGTGAATGAGCTGGGCGGGAGGACGCATGCTGAAATGGCACCTACCATGGTATCCGTGTGCCCGATGGCCTCAAAGGAGTAGTCCACGCCATGGCCGGTCATGTCTGTGAGCACCTCCTGGATGGGCTTCTTGAAGTCTCGAGGACTGACGCAGTCGGTGGCTCCCAGCTCCTTGGCCTTGGCAAACTTGTCCTTGTTGATGTCAACGGCAATGATGCGGGAAGCTCCAGCTGCCTTGCAGCCCATGACAACAGAGAGGCCAACTCCTCCGAGGCCAAAGACGGCGCAGGTGGAGCCTGGTTTTACCTGCACAACGTGGGTTCCTGTGAGTCTCCGGCATGAAGAGGAGGTTTCTGTGGCACAGGGTCATGGAGGGTGGGAGGGCAGCTGCGGGGTGCTTGTGCTCGACACGCCTGAATACCAACCTTCGCGGTGTTGATGGCAGCCCCATAGCCTGTGGAGAACCCACAGCCGAGCAAGCAGACTTTGTCCAGAGGTGCAGCAGCATCAATCTTGGCAACAGCGTACTCTGGGACCACGGTGTATTCTGCAAAGGTGCTGACCCACAGGAAGTGGTGGATCTGCTTCCCTTTGCAAGTGAACCGGCTGGTCTTGTCAGGCAGCAGGTTTTGTGGTTCGGAGATGCTGTTGGGAGGCACAAGCATTTGTTTTTCACCAAGTAAAGCACCCGTGAGGCTGTCAGACTTGTGGAGAGACAGCCAGCCCCATTTGAGTATAGGGGAAGGCAAAGCAAACTCACTGGGACTTCAGGCAGTAGTTGGATTCAGGATTCAGGCAGAAGTTGCATTCCCCACAATGTGGAAGGCAAAGGGGGATGACTTTGTCTCCTGCAACAAAGTGGATCCGTGTTAGGTGCCTCCTGGCAGGCCCCGAGGGTGCTGCCTGTTGGAACCCCTCTGGTTTCCGATGGCAGCAACCTACCACAAGCCCTCTGTGACCTCTGTCAGAAGGAAACCCTCAGAGCCCCACTCGTGTGTACAGGGAATAGGCCAGGAAAGTGCATGTGACAGTGGGGTGCAGTGAGTGTGCCCTGGGGTTTTGAGCCAGTGATGCAGGAGCAGGGGGTAATTTCTGAGCTCAGGGCAGCCTCGTCCGCTTTGAGACCTGACTCCTGGGTGTGTGTTTGTGTGTGTATGTGTGTGTGTCTTACCTGGTTTCACAGAGGTCACTCCTTCTCCAACGCTTTCCACAATCCCAGCTCCTTCGTGGCCTGGGATAACTGGGAAATCCGCGCTAGGAAAGCAGCCTTCCAAAAGGTGGTCATCTGTGCGACAGATGCCTGTGGCCACAATCTGTTTGGAGAGGAAAGAGTAGATGCTGAGCTTGAGAAATGGTCTGGCCTCTGTTTTAACTCCATTTGTGGAAGGACTTTTCACAGAGAGAGCTCTTCTCTGGGGAGTTAAGGCCTATGGGCAAACACCGATCCTTGACAGGCCTATTCAAGGTGTAGCCGTAAGAAGAGCAATTCCCACAAGGGAGGAAAAAAAGGTATTGAGATGTGTTTTTACCTTGATACGGACTTCACCTGCCTTTGGTGGTGCAACCTCCACCTCCTCGACAGAGAGTGGTTTGCCCACGGCCCAGGCAACAGCAGCTCTGCACCTGATAACCTGGAAGCAAGAGAGAGCATTGTGCTGCATGGGAATGTTTGCCTTTGGTGCGCTGTCGGGGACGGTCATCCTACCGTCACCTCCAGTGGAGGGGCAGAGCGTGTGTGTCTGCATGACTGTCCTGTGCTGTTTCCTGGGGGACCTGCTGGGTGGGTAGGATGTGGTGGGAGACCAGAAACAGGGGTGTGCTCAGCTGTGGGCGAGGCCAAGTGATGTTCTGTAAACACTGGCCTTGTGTGAAATGTAAAGATGAAGTGACCAGTCCACAGAGGGTAAGGCTCGTGTTTTTCCTGGGAGCACGGACGTGGAAAAAGCTGCCTGCCTTGTGTGTGCAGGACGGGGCTCGTGGGGTGACCTGGGGCAGCACGGCTGAGGAGCTGCAGCCCAGGGGATGCTGCAGACCCTGCTGAGGTGGGTATCCTCCCAACAGCACTCTGTGCTGATGCCCTGCCCGGCCTTTGGCTGCTCTGTGCTAAGGGGGAGGTGAAGACAGCTCTGGCCCCTGTCTGGCTGGCAACTGGGTAATTTTCTCCCTTGCCAAAGGGATGATTTGTGTGTGGCATCTCCCAAACACTGAGCCAGTCACTCCCCCCCGAGCTGTTTTGATGCTCAGCAAAACTGAGCCTTCGGCTTGTAAGGGCTTTTGCGAGGGAAAAGTTCGAATGCAGGCGATGAGTGGCTGCAAGGCTGCACCTCTGAAGAGCCGTGTGTTTCCCTGCCAAAGCGGGAGAGCAGAGTCAGGCTGAGCAGGGGGATGTTTTCCAGAGTGGTACAATTCGGTCTTTACATTCCTGAACTGCTGGGCAGAACAGGAGAGGAACGCAGTACCTAACGCAAATACCGACATGTGCAGTGGTATGAAAGCAGAAGCTTGTGTGATTCAAAGGGGTGCGAGTGAGTTGGGGGGGAGTCAGGTCAGAGGAAAGAGGATGCGGAGGCTGAGGCATTTTCAGAGTATTTCCCGAAGAGCAGGGCACCTCGGAAAGGAAGAGGGGAAACGCATTGTCCTTACTTTTCCAGAAGTGGCCATGTGGTCTTAGCAGAGCTGTTGCCGTTGCTGCAGCAGGCTGGAGGGAAGCTACTGCTCATCTGACCGAAGCCCCGTACTGTGAGAGGGCTGAGCCGTGGAGCCGGAGCACTGCTGGGCAGCTGAAGGAGGAGGCAGGGAGCGTGGAGGGAGTCCTGGTGTGGGACAGTCACCGGAGAGCGGGGAGCTGTGTTGAATCTGTGTCCAGAGCCGGACGCTGAGGAGCACAGCGAGTGGTGAGGGTAGGAGCTGGGTACAGGCAGGGAGATGGTGATGGGCAGCAGTCCCGCTCAGCAGGGAGCAGGCAGAAGTCCTCCGGGGAGGCTTTTATTGGTGGCTCTGCTGTCGGGCCATGCCCTGCCCTTCCTGGCTGAACAGCACAGGAGGCTCAGTGAGATTTTTCCTCCCTGGTTGCTTCCTGCAGGTGTGGAGGGAGGAGACTGGTGGCACCGCTGGGGCTTCCTCGGCGTCCTGTTCTTACCAAGGGGTAGCATTTGACCTGGCAGCGGTTCATGCCAAGGTGTTTGTGAAAGGATTAAAAATTAAAAACAGAAAAAAAGGACAGGGAAAACATGGTCTGGTGGACAAACACGCATGCCCTTTCGGAGTGGAGCTTAACTGTCTGTGGTGTTGCAGCTGTCTTCCTCGGGGTCGTAAGGGGAGGATGTGTGGGGACAGGGGGCTTTTCCAAGGACCCGTTTGTTTCACTTGTGTGTAACCAGGTTTGCAAGGGCGTTCACTGCCTGGTCTCTTCTGGTTCTCACAAATCTGTTTCTGCTGAGGCATTGGGCGAGGTGATTTATAGGAGCTTGGATTAGCAGGACCTTGCTGGAGAACCAGGCTAAGATGAGCACCTTGTGTGTGACCCTCAGGTTTGGGAACTGCTTCTGCACTTGGGAAGATGCCAGCCCCAGGTGTATGTGTTCAGGGGACTGCCAGGAGAGATGTGTGTTGGTGCTCGCTACCGCGTGTCCCAGCCGTGTTTCATGAGCCAGGGGTGAAGGGTGGCAGCAGCAGCAACAGCACTTGCTGTTGGCTGGCCAAACTCCCAGCTCTCAACCCCCCTGGACCCATCTCCAGCTTCGTTGATGCAGACCAGCAACGCTACCCTGCCCCAGCAGCTGGCTGGGTTATTGCCTGGGGCATGGTGGCCCTGTGGTGTGACAGTGGCTCCAGCCACATGGAAGCACTGCTGGGCAGCTGGTTCCCCAGCTTTGCTGGTCAAGCCCAGCCTCTGTGTGATGATGTCCAGGTGCTGCTGTGCTCCTTCATGGAAGTGAGCAGCCGGCACTAGAGCGGACATGGAGTTGTGGATCATTTTGATCTGTGTTTCTGGTGCTAAGGTACTTTTAGGAGTTTTTCCCAGGAAAGTTCTTCTTTTTCATAGGTTTCTTTGCACACCTGTGGTAGCCTCCATCAGACTGTGAATACTGGTGTTTTGTAATTTCCCAGGAAGAAGGAGTTTTTGAATAGAGTTTTTAAGGTTTTCAATATTCAGCCTGATCTGCTGCTGCATTAAAAAAAAAAAAAATCTGTCTTGATTTGTGGTATGATTCATGTATTTAGCAAGAGAAAAAAAATTCATTTCACTTGTCCTGAGCAGGCTAAGATGTGACAGATCTTGAATGAAACATTGACGTGTCAACTCCCAATAATCTGTGTAGCAAGTGTTTTTTATTATCAGGTAGTCTGCACCTGATAACCTGGAAGCAAGAGAGAGCATTGTGCTGCATGGGAATGTTTGCCTTTGGTGCGCTGTCAGGGACGGTCATCCTACCGTCACTTCCAGCGGAGGGGCAGAGCGTGTGTGTCTGCATGACTGTCCTGTGCTGTTTCCTGGGGGAGCTGCTGGGTGGGTAGGATGTGGTGGGAGAGCAGAAACAGGGGCGTGCTCAGCTGTGGGCGAGGCCAAGTGATGTTCTGTAAACACTGGCCTAGTTTAACATCTGAGGAAACACCATTTGTGCTTTGTCAGACAAAGAGTTGGTCTCTTGGTAAATTATTGGGGTTTTCATTACTTTTAGTGGATTTTTTGTAGTGTTGTCATGTGCTAATGGACAGATTGTGCTCTAATGGGGAGCGTGGACCCTGCTCGTTCACAGGAAAGCTCCTAAATGGAGGCGCACACAGAGCCGCTGCATGTGGTCCTGAGCCAGCCTTGAGTACCTCAGAGGCAGAGAGCCGTGTCAGAAAGTGCTGTCCAGAGCTGCACAATCACAGAAATAAATTAATCTTCAGCTGAGTGTGGATGGGGATCTGCAGGGAGAAATACTCTAGGAAAGTATGAACTATTTGTCATTCCCCAGTCAGAAGCCTCTTCATTCCTCCATGTGAACATAGAACTAGATGGCTGCCTTGTAAAATGTTCCTAATAAGAATGATTTCACGAGTTTATTGTCTTGGACCCAAGCAACTATCCTGATAGAGATATCAACAGCAGGTGTTTACTATGCTTGGCAGATTACAAGAGGAATGGGTTTTGCAGAATCCTGAAGAGGAGAGAAGCAAGGAGGTTTGTTGTACTTTATTCCTTAGGTCTTTTTTTTTTTTTTTTTTTTTTTATTCTACTCTTGAGACTGGTGTTACATACTCTAACCTTCATGCAATAGGGAATGCCTTCGGAAAAAACATGTATCTGGCACATGGAGGATACTTCCTCTCCATACTCCTCCTTTCTGTCCTCACAAGCTTGGCTTAAACAGGCCTTCTTTGGCTTCTGTTTAAGTCATGAGTTAAACACACCTTAGCTGGTACAATAAGCTAGCTTGGCCTCCACAGGAAATATTTTGTGAGAATACTCTGAGAATTGAGATATTGTTATGCTCTTGTT